AATATTAATAGAATAATAATACAGATAATAAATAATAACAATATAATTCATAATATTAATAATAATAAACGTATAAAGAAGATAATATAATTATAATAAGACAGTTGTCTCCTTGTTAGAGGAGACAGTGCTGCCTCGAGCGTCTTTAGGAGACAGTTTCTTCTGTCTCCTGCTCTGTTGCCTTCTTACTGCTGCACCTCCTCTCTTGCTGGCAGCCCCACAAGTAGCAGCAGCAAGCAGCAGCAGCGAGTAGCAGCAGCAAGCAGCAGCAGCGAGTAGCAGCAGCAAGCAGCAGCAGCAAGCAGCAGCAGCAAGCAGCAGCAGCAAGTAGCAGCAGCAAGTAGCAGCAGCAAGCAGCAGCAGCAACACCAGCAGGAACAGCAGGAAAAGCAGCAGCAGGGACAGCAGCAGAAGTTGTTTAAGCAGCAGGGGCAGCAGCAGCAGCAGGGTCAGCAGCAGCAGCAGCAGCAGCAGCAGCAGCAGCAGCATCAGTGCGAGTGTCTGCATCTTCCCCCTCGATTTTGTCTGCTGATTATTCTTTCTGTCTCCAAATGCAGCACGCTGTTGCTGTCTCTGTTTGTCTCCTTTGTTGCTGCTCTAAGCTGTCTATCGGTCTCCTTTGTTGCTGCTCTTAGCTGTCTATCTGTCTCCTTTGCTGCTGCTTGTAAGTGTCTGTCTGTCTCGGTCTGTCTGTCTCTGTTTATTAGCTGTCTCCTCTGTCTCTCTTCTTTGTCTCTTCTCTCTTTCACTGTCTCCTTTTGTTGCTGTCTTTGTTTGTTTGCATTTGTTTATTTGTTTGTCTTTACTGTCTCTTCATTGTCTCTGTTAGTCTCCTTCTTTTATCTGCTGTAGACAGCGACCTGCTTTAGAGTTGAGTGTTTTTTTTGCTGCCTGCTGCAGCAGCAGGCTTTGTTGCTGCTGCTGCAACAGGAGCAGCAGCAGCAGGCTTTGTTGCTGCTGCTGCAGCAGCAGCATCACGCTGCAGCAGCTGCGTTCTTGCAGCAACAGAGACAGCAGCGCGCTGTCTCCTGCGTTGCCGCAGCACAGCATGAGGCTGGTGTCTCCTTCTGGGCCCTAAACGTCTTTGCTGCTGCTGCTGCTGCTGCTGCAGTGGCAGCCGCGTCCATCCCTTACCCTCTACAACTTTATAACGCACTCCTTCAGACACCGCAAACATCACACACCCCACATGCCCTACTCAGCAGCAGCAGCAGCAGCAGCAACAGCAACAGCAACAGCATCAGCATCTAAAGGGGCAGCAGCAGCCAGTGCTGCAGCAGGTAATGCAACAGGAGCATCAGCAGCAGATGCAGATGCAGATGCAGCAGAAGATGCAGATGCAGCAGCAGCAGCAGCAGCAGCAGCAGCAGCAGCAAGACCTCGAATGCTTACCTTTGTAGGAGAAGGAATCACCCCACTCACCCCAACGGGTCCTCCACCACGGCCTCAGTTTTGGAGGATCGTCTGATTCTGCTGCTGCTGCAGCTGCTGCTGCTGCTGCTGCTGCTGCTGCATCAGGAACAGCAACACTGGTCATCTGCTGCCTTGGTGCTGCAACAGGCACGCGCTGCATCTGCAGCGGGTCTGTCTCTACGGTGTACATTTCATTTCCCTCCTCTTCTTCTAGCTGCTGCTGCTGCTGCTGCTGCTGCAGGCTCGTGCTGCTGCTGCTGCTGCTGCTGCGCTGAAGAAGTTCTCTGTAATCTACACCCATATGTTCAGCAGCAAGAATGATATCATACAGAGGGGGTCGAGGGACCTCCTCATCCTTCCTCCTGCTCCTCTTCCTGCTGCTGCTGCTGCTGCTGTTGCTGCTGCTGCTGTCAATGCTACTGGCACTGTTGCTGGAACCTACGCTACTGCTGCTGCTGCTGCTGCTGCTGCTGTTGCTGGGGGGCAGCAGCATCTTCTCAGCAGCAGCAAGTTGTGGGTTATGAATGTCTACATTATGTTGAGGGTGAGGAGACAAAACAAGCTGCGGTTGCTGCAGCAGCTGCTTAACATGAAGCTCCTGCTGCTGCAGCAGCTGCTGCGGTGGCAGCACCCCGTGTCTCTTGAGGTGTATATACAGATATTTCTTTAATGAGCACTCTCCTAAGAGCTGAGTATATGAAGACAAGCGATAGGGATGACTCAGTATAGCAGGTAAGGGCCTCACACCTGAGCAGCAAAAACACACATCTGCTGCTGCTGCTGCTAATGCTGCTGCTGCTAATGCTGCTGCTGCTGCTGATGATGATGATGATGATGCTGGTGGTGGTGGTAATCGTAGTGCTGCTGCTGCTTCTTAAGCAGCAGCAGCAGCATCAGCATCCGCAGCATCAGCCTTAGCATCACCCTCAGCAGCGGCAACAAAAACCGCAACAGCAACAACAACAGCAGCAGCAGCAGCAACAGCAGCAGCAGCAGCAGCAGCAGCAGCAGCAGCAGCAGCTTGCCTCCTTGTTTCTGGTATCTGATGAAATCGAAGGGCTTAGGGTTTGCTGTTTTGTTGATGAGAGCAGAGATAAATGAAGAAGAAAATACGCCGAATCGTCGTACATAATCAACAGCAAAAGGAAGAGGCAAGGTGTGTATACACCTGGTGAGGAGTGCTGCTGCTGCTGCTGCTGCTGCTGCTGCTGTTGCTGCTGGAGTTCGCTGCTGCTCCATGCAACGAGATACTGCAGCAGCAAAATCAGCAGACAAGCATTCATAAGCCCTCTGCGTTGGGCAGTCCCTATACACCCCAATACGCGTTAGCAGCTGCAGCACAACTTCAGCAGGCAGCTGCTGCACCAGCAGCAGCATAAAAGCTCTGTTCATATCTGCTGCTGCAAGGCTGTCGATATCGCACACCTTCGTTACCCACACCTGCAGCAGCAGCAGCAGCAGCAGCAGAAGCAGCAGCAGATACAGCAGAAACAGCAGCAAGATGAAGTGCCCCCGCAGAAACAAAAACACCATCACAGCAGCAGCAGCAGCAGCAACAGCAACAGCAACAGCAGCAGCAGCAGCAGTAGCACCAGAAGCAACGGAAACAACAACAAGAGCATCGGCAGCAGAGGCACCGGCAGCAGCAGCAGCAGCAGCAGCAGCAGAAGCAGTAGCAGCAGCAGCAACAGCAGCAGAAGCAGCAACAGCAGCAGAAGCAACTGCAGCAGCAAAGACTCCACGTACACGGCTTGCCGGCTGTTTGTCTTTTTGTTTTTTTATTTTTTTCTTGCCCCCCATTCTCTGTTCTTCGTTCATAAATGCAATCACACTGCTGCTGCTGCTGCTGCTGCTGCTGCTGCTGCTGTCTGTCCCCTTAGCAGCAAGTTTCTCTGCTAGTGCAAGGCGCTGCAGCAAAGCGTCTCTACGCCTTTTGCTGCTGTCCAGTGCTGCTGCTCCCAATGGAGTTCCCTTCAGTCCTCGACGTTGAAGAAATTGTGTCTCTTGATTGTCTCCTGCTGCTGCTGCTGCTGTTGTTGTTGCTGCTGCTGGTGCTGCTGCTGCTGCTGTTCTGGCCAGCAGCTGCGCGACAGCCTCATCGCAGTCTTCTTCAGCAGCGCACCACGAAGAAGCTCCTGCAGCAGCATTCGCTGCTGCTGCTGCTGTTCTTGTTTCTACTGTCGCACGACCTGCTGCTGCCTCCGCCTCTCCCTCTCCTGCTGCTGCTGCTGCTGCTTCTGCTGCTGCTGCTGCTGCTCCGCAGAGACTGTCTCCTAGCCACAGGTTTGCATGCGCTGGGCCCTCAATATCAAAATGCAGGGGCCCCTCGGGGCCCCCCTCATCGCTCGAATCTTCTGAAAGCTGCTCGCTATCAAACGGAGAAGGCTCTGCTGCTGCTGCTGCTGCTGCTGCTGCTGCTGTTTGTGCTGCTGTTTGTGCTGCTGTTTGTGCTGCTGCTGCTGATGTTGAAGGGGGGCGAAGTCCATCATGAGGGGGAGCAGCAGCAGAGTTTTGCGCAGCTGCTGCAGCAATATAGCCTGAATTGAGGTGCCGCTGCAGCAGCAGCAGCCCCCAGTCGGCGCTGCAGCAGAAACAGCTGCTACTGCTGCTGCTGCTGCTGCTGCTGCTGCTGCTCTTGCTGCAGCTAGTGGAGGTCAGTGCACAGCCCAGCCGCTGCAGAGGGCGTTTAAATGAGTTAAATAACATCGGTGAAGACGAGAAAAAGAAAGAAGAAGCTGCAAGGCATTGTGAAGGAAGCTGCAGATTTGCTGTAAACAATAAATAAACAAGTTTAAAAATAAATTTAAAGTTATAACTAAAAAATATAAAATAAAAAACAAAATAATTTTTAAACATAAAAGAAAAAGACATTAAACATAAAACATCGATGGAGCAGCTGCTGCCGATTCTCCCTGCTGTTGCTGCTGCTGCTGCTGCTGCTGCTGCTGCTGCTGCTGCTGCTGCTGCTGCTGCTGCTGCTGATTTTAAAATAATTTTTTTGCATGCAGCAGCAGCTAAATACATAAATAGAAAGTTATTTCAACAGAAGAGCTCCTAGTTGTTTCAGACTCAGCTTACTTAAACATACCCCCTAAACCCTAAACCCTAAACCCTAAACCCTAAACACTAAACACTAAACCCTAAACCCTAAAGCTTCTAACAAACCCTAAACCCTCATGCAAACACTAAACCCTCTTACGAATGCTAAACCCCCTAATAAACCCTAAACCCTCATGTTAGCCCTATACTTAACTACAAACCTCGTCATACAAACTCTAAAACCTTAACCTGTATAACAAACCCTAAACCTTAAACCCTTAACTCGTATAACAAACCCTAAACCCTAAACCCGAAACCCTCTAATCCCTGTAACAAACCCTAAACCCTAAACTCCAAACCCTCAAAAAAACCCTAAACCCTAAACCCCTAACTCCTAGAACAAACCCTAAACCCTTAGCCCCTCTAAGAAACCCTAAACCCTAAACCCTTAACCCCTTTAATAAACCCTAAACCCGAAACCCTTTAAGAAACCCTAAACCCTTAACCCTCTAAGAAACCCTAAACCCTAAACCCTCTAAGAAACCCTAAAGACTCTACCAAATACATACAAACCCCAAACCCTAAACCCTCTACAAACCCTAAACCCTAAACCCT